CCCCAGTGAGCCTTGCTGCGGCCCAGACCACACCTTGCTGTGGCCACAGTTGGTCCTGCATGAAAGCAAAGCAGGGGACACCCCTGGGAACTTCTCCCTGCCAGATTCTGAAGGAGGGGGCAGGTGTCCCCAGGCAGCATGAGGTTTGTAGAAATGACACCGCAACCATGCTGGGTATGGGCCCTCCCCCCCCGCCAAACAGCTCCTTGTGTTGGGAAAGTCGGGTTCACCTCAGCATCTGGCCTCCAGTCCAGGTTTTGCATCTGCAGAGCAGGTACATAGCACGTGCACAGCAGGGGCACAACAGGCCCTCTACAGGGCCGGGAACACCAACAGCTCCACTGGAAAACAGGCAACTGGTGAGCTCCCTGTGGGTTTTCTTGTGAGAGCAGTCTGACGCTTTATACCTGGGCCTTTTCATCTGTCTTTTCTGAAGAATCCTTCTACACTTAAGCAGACGCAGAGTCCACTAGCAGATTTGCAGGGGGCAGAGGTTGGGGGGGGCAAATGCTCACCCCCCCCGTGCCTTCCGGGGGTTCCCAGCAGGGTGTTGGGTGCCCCCCCTGGTGGGGCACTAAAGGGGAGGGGGCAGAGCCCCTGTGATGGCGGCTGAGCGAGGAGCCCGCGGCGGGGCCTTGGGCATACAGCCTCTCGGGCTGTCATGGTGGGACGGGTGGCTAGCCAGCACGGCCTCTGTGCCTGAGTGGGGCCATGGCCGAGTCTCTGAGTTTAAAGCCCTATCTTTCTTTACTCCTGGAAGGGGCCACGGGACAGGCCCAGAAGGAAGGCCGAGCTGCCAGGAAGTGGCGTTCCCACAAAAGGCGGGCCAGAGGCAGGGAGCCCTGGCTTGGCCCCAGGCAGCAGGTGTGGCTCAGGGAGGGACTATGACTTGTCCTAAGCCTGGGCACCCCCACCTGTCCCCCCACCCATGACTGGGACAACAGGCACAGCTGCCGCCGCCGCTGCACAGGATCAGTCAGGTGACACGTCCCTGAGCTGTGCTCTAGCCTCCTGTGCTCTCTGAGGGGGCCCCATGTGGGGACAGTAGAGGTCCCCCCACACTCTGGAGCCCCCAGGTGCCTGCCAGGGCTGTATAGGGGGACGGGGCCCCAGGCAGGCCCGAGGACCCATTAAATCCTTCCAGGATCAGGGCGGGGAATCATTACGAAGGCTGGGCGTGGCTCCTTGCGTCTGCTTGTTGCCATGGCCCACGGACGCCCCGGAATCTGCCTCCCCCTGCCCAGGTGCTGCCCTGCGCTCGCTGCAGCCCTCCACAGCCCTCCACGCCCAGGAGCCTAGAGATCCTGACGTTACCCTTGGCAACGTGCTGACGCAGATGCCAGCGGGCGGGGGGTGGCGGGGAGGTAGTGGTGGTGGCTGTGGCTCGTTTGCCAGGCATGGGGGCGGGGGGGCTCAGCCAGTCACTGTCAGAGAGAAGATGAGGCCTCAAGAGCCAAGCGGGAGAGAAGAGCTCTGAGGAGCCACGTCCAGAGCCTGGCACCGGGCAGGCCCCCAGGCTCCCTTGGCTTCTGCAAAAATTAGCATGGCTGGGTCTTGGCTGCCTTGCCTTTGCTGGGGCCCAGGAGGGCCCTTGAAAAGAAGGCATGGGGGGCAGCCCTGTCCGGCCCCCGACGGATGCATTCACCTTGGCCGGGCAGGAGGAGGGCAGGAGCACAGAAGAGCCAGGCTGGCGGCGGCGGTGGCGGGAGCTGCCTGTGGGCGCCAGCAGAGGCAGGCTCTGCTCTCTGCCTGGCCCGGCTCTCCCTTGGGCGACCAGCCCACCGCGGCAGCCAGCCGGCTGGAGGAACCACGGGGGCTATTGTCTTTCCTCGGCAGCCTGTTTGTTTTCCAGCCTGAGATATTGCTGGTAGAGCATGAAAGGTCACAACTATTTGGAATCCAGTGAATTTCCAGCCTCGCTTGAGTTTCTCATGAAGAATTTCCTTTTCTGGGGAACAACCATCTCCCCAGGCCTGCTGAGACTAGGGTGGCGGCAGTGGTGGGGTGCAGGCCTGGCTGCTAGCCCCTCCTTTTAGAAAATGCCCTGAGCAGCTCCAGAGCCTGGCTGCCTCCAGGGGGGCAAATACAGGCCTTCCAGAAACCACCCCACCCCACCCCAGCCAGGCCAGGGGTTGCTATCCCTGCCCAGGGCTGCCAGCTGTGTGCCCCCCAAGGACAGGGCTGGGAGTAGGCTAGAGATGTGAGGGCCTGCGTGGGGCTGCCTGTCCAGCCGTCTGTCCACCCAGCCCACCTGGGCAGCCATTCACTAGCACACGAGTGGGGACCCATCTGTACAGACAGGCCGCAATGGAGGGGTGTGCAGGCGCTGGGTCAGGGCAGGCCTTTCAAGGAGGGGACACCTGAGATGAGACCTGAAGGACAGGGACAGGCAGAGACAGGGTAGTCACGCATTTAAGGCCAGAGACAGCAGAGCGTGTGAGTGAAACAAGCCCACAAAGGCCAGAGCAGAGAGGAGAGAGGCAGTGAGGAGGCGGGGGATGGGCCAGGCAGAGCCGGTGGGGCCTCGGGCAGAAGGCCTGGCCTTGGGCCCATCTTTGAGGACACTTGGGCCGCCTCCTAGCTGACAGGTTCAGAGAGCAGAGATGATAGCCAAATCCCTCCATGAGATACGGGACCATCTCAGGGCCCAGGGATCCCGCCTCCCACATCCTGCCACACCTGTGGGCACAGGCTTGGCCGGCAGAGCCTGCCAACAGATGGTCTGGGAGCCCGGCCCAGGGCTGAAGGAACTTGCCATGCTTGCCCTGGAGACGACAGATGAAGCAGCCCTGAGATCTAGGCCCCAGAAAGACCCCAGAGCCCAGGCTATCACCAGCCTTAGGACAAACAGGCGGAAGCCTGGAGAGCTGAGCACGGAGCACCGTGTGGCTGGTGGATCTGCTCTGGCACTGCCCTGGGGCCTCAACTGGGCACCTGACCCTGGCCTAGCATCATGGACTGGTCAGCCCCAAGCCCTCTGCTCAGAACAATGCCTCTTCAAAGAGCCCGACCTTGCCCGTCGGCTGGGATGTTCCCTCTGCCCAGAACCACACATGGTACTGAAGTGGGTACAGGCAGAAGAATAACAGGAGCTAGCACCCCTAGAAACCACACAGTGCTGGGAGCTGCAGCCTTGCCCTGCCCTGTGCACGCAGCATCCTCAGCCCAGGCCCGGCTCTGGAGAGACCCCTGGATGCACACAGGGCAGATGAGGGGAGTCCTGCTTCCTGTCTCCATGACCACCTGCAGCTGTTTCTTTCCCCTCCTCCAAGAGGCTGGACTTCCTTGAAAACCTGATGAAAGCCACAGACCCTCTTTCTATCCAGAAAAACGCTCAGGCATCCAGCATGGTGGCCACGGCCTGCAGCCATCCACAGGCTTTCCTGGGGCCACAGGCTCAGTTAAGACTCCCAGCTGAACCCAAAGAATAAAGCCACTACCTGCATTAAAAAAGACCGAGTGAAGGACCAAGCCCCTTCCTTGCCATCGCCCTGGTCCCTTGGACCCTGGAGGCTGACCCCCGCCATGGCCATCATCACCCCCTCCCCTGCCAGACCACTGCCTCCCCAAGCCGCTGAAGCCGCTGACACCCACAGTCCCATACCACTTACAGCTACTTATGGATCCCTGTTTGCCCCCACGCCCCCCACTCCTAGGATCAGAGGCCTCTTAAGGGCAGATTCCAGGTCTCTGCTCAGTGCTCCTGCCTGGCACAAAACCTCCTCTGCAGGACAGCCAAGGTGGGGCAGCCCGGGCCACCCCCACCCTGTCTGGCTGCTCAGCTTCCACCACCACTCCTGGGCACCCAAGGACTCTGCGGTGCCTTGAGCACTGGGCCTTTTGCCTTGGCTGAGCCTGCATCGTGTTGCCCACCCCCTCCCTGCCAAGGGTCTGGCTCCCTTTCCTGCCCAGCAGCTCCCCCTTGAGCCCTCACTGGCTCAGCACCAACCCTGGCTGCCCCTTGGCACCTCCCCGCACTGTATCCACTCTCGGGGGCCTCCACCCACCACCTGCCTTTGAGCCCCCTTCTCCACACAGTGGGTTCTTAGCCAAGGCTGAGGGCCTGAAAGAATCCCCACACCCACCCAACCCCTGGGGATTAAACCTCAGAAACAGTTCTTAACCCTGTCACCACTGGACTCCCAGGATCCAGATCCCTGGGTTGTGGGGCTGTGGCTGCAGTTTCCAGGACCCAGCACAGTGCCTGGGATTGGTAGAAGTTTTGTGTATTTACTGAATTGCTACAGGCGAGCTGGTGAGCTCCCTGTGGGTTTTCTTGTGAAAACAAGATGGATGCCTGGCCTGGGCCTTGTCCCCACTCTTGTCCCGCAGAGCTGTCAACCTCCCTCCCAGCCTTCAAGGTTACTCCCCAACGCACGTGACTGCACCCCAACCTCACCTGAAACAAACCCCCTCACAGGGCCCAGCTTCCCCTTCTTCCTCCTCAGTGAGCCTTCCTTGACACCCAGGTGTCCAAGCCCCTCCCCTGGGCTCCAAGCAACATGCTCTTGGGGCTGAGGAGCAGGCCCCACACAGCAGAGGGATGGCCCTCCGTGCCCTGAGTATTTCAGGCACGGGGTGTGGGCTGCTCATGGCCCTGAGGCGGGGGCCACCTGGGTACCTTGGGGTCTCAGAGCACCTTGTCAGCAGCTGGGTGAGGGCACCCCTACCTGGTGGAGCCCGAGGGTGTGGTGGTTCCTCAGAGGGTATTCAGAGCCCTGAGGGCCTGTCAGGGCACCGAGGTCAGAGTGGGACCTGTCCATGCTAGGGGGGCCACTGAGAGAGCTGACAGCGGGTGCTACCCCAGGGTCCTAGAGTGCCCACGATACCTAGCACCCTCCGCACTGCGCTCCCAGGACAGCACCTCGCCGGAGCCACCGTGGCTCCCCTCCTGACTACAGCCTCTCCTGCCCTGGGCGGCCCATACCCTCAAGCCCACCCACTTCCCAGGAGCCAGCGGGGGGGCAGGAACAAGCAGAGGAAAAGCCCGGCACACTCACCGTCTGGTTGTCCTCGTAGAGTTTCAGGTCGTAGCCACTAAGCTCCACACAGAAGATGATGGCTGTGACGCCCTCGAAACAGTGGATCCATTTTTTGCGCTCCGACCTCTGCCCGCCCACATCCACCATCTTGAAGGTGAGCTCCTTGAAGGTGAACTTGTTCTCCACGATGCCCGTGGTCATGTCCCGGGAGCGCAGAATGTCCTCGACGGTGGGGATGTAGTCGGGCGCGGCGATACGCTCCAGGTCGTTCAGGTAGTAGGCGGCGTTGTCCTCCAGGTGGTACTCACTGGAGCGGCCGAAGCAGGCCTGCGCCCCGGGGTCGGCCCATAGCCGCCGCATGACGCCCAGCAGCTCGGGTGTGATCTCGCCCTTGCTCTCTGCAGGGCCTGTGAGCGCGAAGAGCTGGACAGCGTCGTAGGCGCGGTCCGGGTTGTGGAAGTCGATCTTGAGGGCGGCCAGGGCGCGGATGATGCGGGTCAGCGAGTCGATGGCGTTATAGATGATGAGGGGCTTGTACTCCTTGCAGGCCTCCAGGTTGAAGCCCCCGCTGTGGATGATCTTCATCTGCTTCACAATGGTGCTCTTGCCTGAGTTGCTGGTGCCCAGCAGGAGCAGCTTGATCTCGCGGCGCTGCCGCTGGCTCTCTGAGCGCAGATGGCGGTCAATTCTCCGGGACCGCCGCGCCGCCTCTTTCTCCTCTGAGCTTTGCCGACATCCCATGGTCCGGCAGCGGCGGGCCCAGATGCAGAGCACGGGACGGGGCGCCTCTGCCTGTGGCCACCGAGCAGGGGACGCTGAGACGCGGGCCGGGTGTGCCCGGCAGACGGAGCCCTGCGGCCCTCAAAGCGCTCAGCGCGGGTGCGGGGGCGAGGCCATGCCACGCTGCAGCCCCTGCCCCAGCACCTCTTCTCCAGCTGGCATGGCGATCGCCTGTTGCGAGGAGGTGGCCGGGCCCTCCCTCTAGTGACACTCCACCCACGAAGGCCACTGTGGGGCCCGGTATGCCGCCGTCATCCCCTGTCCTCCCGACGGTAGGCAGTTGCACTCTAGCGTCTGCCTAGGCCGCTGCCGTCTGGCTGCCGGTTGCTGAGGCGGTGCTGCTAAGTGCGCCTGGAAGGCCAGCCCCCGGGGCCGCGGGCGCTCCCTGCGGCCCCCCTGCCTTGGGCATCCGCCCTTCACCTGCCAACACAGAGAAGAGGGTGAGCCTCTTCCCACCGCAGGCCGGGTGGGAAAGGGAGACCTCAGACGGCGTCGGGAAGCAGCCTGGGGGACAGGGAATCAAACCCCCTCCCTTCCTCGGAACTCTGAGGAGTTGTGCCCAAATCCACGGCAGAACAAATGGGGCTGGGAGCCATGTCCCGCACCCCTCCTGCGAGCAGTGTGCCTGAAGCCTGGTGCTTGAGGAAAGGGTGCCCAGAGCCACACTAGGACTTCAGAGCGAGGGAGTGAGTCCGGGGCCCTTCCACCCCTCCCTGCCCACTGGACCCGGCCAACCTCACCCTCCCAGAGCCTCCGTCTCTGGGTCTGATGGTCATTAGGATTCAATATGACGATCCTGCTGTGATGTCCTCCCCCCACCTCCCTCACTCTCTCTCGTAGCTGCCACAGCATCGATGGGGCTTGGCTCCTCCTTGGTTTACGGTGGGGTCCCATGCCAGGGTAACTGGGTGATCCCCCCTCACCACCTCTCATGGGCGCTGGGTCACTCCTGCTCCCTCTCAGGGCAGGACATTCACCAGGAGGAGGCTGGCCAGGCCTGGCAGTAAGCAGATAAGCAGGGAGCAGAGCGAGGCAGGGGCCCCAGGCTGGAGCACCACAGGGTGGACAGCAACCTGGCTCCTGGTGGGTGAGGTGGTGGTGGTGGTGGTGGGGCTCAGGCTGGGCGGGCTGAGTTGGGGGAGCAGGGGCTGGGGGGTGCAGGCCAGCAGCCAGGTGTGGGAGGCAAGCCGGGCCAGAGTATATCTGAGGGCACTGGGAGTCGCTGAGTCCAACGCAAGGCCAAGGGGGCAGTCCACAGGTTCCGGGGTCCCAGGCCATGTCTTTCATGCCCCTGCTCCCACCCTGATGGTCAGTAAGGAACAGCTGTGCTCACACCCTGAGCAGGGCACCAGCACCTCCGCTCCCAGCTCTCAGCCAGCCACCTGCTGACCCAGGATGCCTGCAAGCCCTTCCCAGGCCTCCCCCAATGACCTACGAGCAGCTGAGCCAGGGCTCTCCCTCCCAGGGCAGACCCAGAGCTCAGGCTCTGCCCCCACCTGGCAGCCTGCCCCACACAACTCTTGCCCTCCTTCCTCCAACCTCTGTCCTGGCCGTACCCGGCAGCCTCCTCGTTCTGCCACGGCCAGCGTTCACCCCTCTAATGCCCCCACTCCCCTCATGGCAGGCCCTGGGTGGGAAGGACCCAAGGCCAACAGACCCTGAGAGCCAGGGGCCTCATCCCGTCTCCCCACCCAGCCGTGCTTCCACCTGGCCTCTGTGCCTGCTAGGCCCAGCGGCTCTGCTCTGGAGCAGGCCCTGAGGCCTGTTCTCTCCCTGGACCCACCTGCCTCTGCAGCCAGGGGCCCTGCAAGCCCCTCTCCTGCCACCTCTCCCCCTCAGTTGAACCTCCATGTGCCCCCGGTGCTTCCAGAATGATGAGTCCCATCCCAACCGTGTGGCCTGGGCACTTTGACTCCACGTCACAGAGCCTGTCCCTCACCGGTCGCAAGCATCCGTTAGAGGTAGAGCGTTCAGTGCAGGGCCTGGAACCCCGCCAGGGGCAGCTAGTACCCCAGTGTCCTCGTCACCTGTGAGTGTCCCTCAGAACCAAGCACGGCCTGTGTGCTAAGCCCCGGTCCCCCGGGGCCTGGGAGCCGTGCAGTATCCTGCACAGCACGGGCACTCAGTGAGCGCTGGTGGGAGAGAGGAAGGGAAAGACTCGGGCGTGAAGACGCTGAGGAACTTTGCCGTGTCCCCACAGTCCCACTGGACCACGGGTCGGGGACACACAGGCCGTGTACCCACCGTGCAAGCAGAGGTCAGGGAAGGAACTCAAGCAGCAGTGAGTTCTAGGTTGTGGGATGAACAAGGTTTTGTTTTTTTTTCCTTCTTCGCATTTTACCATATTTCCTGTACCTTCTTGAATGAACTTTAGTTTTAAGAGAGGTTTGTAAACAAGTGTCAGGGCATTAACAAGGCCCTGTCTCTCGTGCCACCCAGGCTTGCCTCTCCCCATCCTGGACTGTGAGCATGCGGCTGCTCCCTGGGCCCTGCTGATGACCCGGCGGCCCCTCAGGTGTAGGAAGGAGTCCAAGGTCCCCAGCAGCTGCCCAGGGCACCGGGGGCCCTCCCTGCTGGTGCCCTCCCTCCTGAAGCCAAGGCCAGCCACGCCGGTGGTGCCCCATGTTGTCATTATTGTTTTCCTTAACTTGTGTTTGAGAATCTGAGGTATACTCAGGCCCCAAGTGACCAGTTCTCCCTTGGCTGGTCAGTGATAGGGACAAAGATCACCCGAATGGCAGGTTCCCACCGCCGTTCACTGCCACCTAGACAGGCAGCAACCAGGCACCAAGTCTCCATGCCTCGAGCACCCTGCAGTGACCCCACTCTTGGGACATGGTCTAGCCCAGAGAGGTGACACGGCCTGGGGTTGTGCAGGCCAGTCCCCTGCCTCCGTGCAGGGCTGCATCCAAACGGACCAAGACATCGGCCACGTCCTCTCAGTGCCAAGCGTGATGGCCCTGCGGCCAGGTCCTTCTCAAACCCAAATCCCTCCCCTTGCAGCTTGGGCCTGGGGAGCCTGCCAAGCTGCGCACAGGGCTGTCCTCTGGAGGGCTGGCTCGGTCACCCGGGGCTGCCGCTTGTCGGTGGCCCCTCGCCTTGCTCCTGTACCGGAACTCCGCCTGACCTTCACGGGCCAGCTCATGCGTGGCTGCCTCCCTGCCAGTGGGGCGCCCTGTCCCCACCTGTGGCCTGCGCCTCTCTCCACTGCGTCCTTCCTTTCTCTGGTCTCTCCTGCCAGGCTGGGCCTCTCTTAGAAAAACGGCAATGCCCTTAACAAACACCAGACACAAAAACTAAGTGAAAATGGATCAAAGACTTAAATGTAAGACCTAAAACTATAGCACTCTTAGGAGAAAGCATAAGTCAAGGGCTGCATGACACTGGATTTGACAACGATCTCTTGGATATGACACCAAAGGCTACGGGCAACCAAAGAAAAAGAGAGACAAACTGGACTGCATAAAAATTGCAAAATCTTGTGCATAAAAAGGTACTATCAACAGGTGAAAAGGCAACCTACAGGTGGGAAACAAATACTTGCAAACCACATATTGGATAAGGGGTTAATATCTGCAATACACAGAGAAGTAAACCTCAGCAGCAAAACAAACAACCTGACTGGAAATTGGGTGAAGGACTTGAACGCACATTTCTCCGAAGAAGATAAACACATGGCCAATAAGCACGTGAAAATATGCTCGACATCACTGACATCACTGACTGTCAGGGCGATGCAGATCAAAACCACAGGAGGATACCACCTCACACCGAGAAGGATGAGTACTATAGTTTTAAAAAAAACAACACGAAGAAAAGAATGAGCAGAAATTGGCTCCCTTGTGCACTGTTGGTAGAAATATAAAGTGGTACAGCTGCTATGGAAAATAGTAGGGTGGTTCTTCCTCAAAAAATTAAAAATAGAATTACCAGCAATTCCACTTCGGGTAGACACCCAAAAGAATGGAAATCAGGGTCTCGGAGAGATTTTTGTACACCCGTGTTCAAAACAGCACTATGTCCACAATCGCTAAGAGTGAGCAACCCCAGCGTCTGCTGGCAGACGAACGGAGAAGTCAAATACACGCACGCATGCGGGAATACTATTCAGCCTTAAAAAGGAAGGGCACCTGCTACAACAGGGATGAACCTTGAGGACTTTACACTCAATGAAAGAAGCCAGTCACAAAAGGACAAATACTATGTGATTCCACGTAAATGAGGTCCTTAGAGTCGTCAAATTCATAGAGACAGATGGTTGCAGCACAGCATTATTAATGTATTTAAAACCACTGAACTGTAAACTTAAAAATAGTTAAAATAGTAAGTTTTATATCATGTCTATTTTAATACCAAAAAAAAAATGTCTTGTGGGTGAGGTACCCCAAAAATAAAAATAGTGAGGAGGCCACGTGGTACAAGAGAAAGAGGCAGGCCCCCTGCCCGGTCCTGGCTTCCCCCACCAGTGGAGGGCCACTTGGGGCCCACAACATCCATTCTGTGGACTGGAACGCCTGACTAATGGCCCCCAGCTGGTACCAAGATTCGCCCATCCAGCCTTCAGTCCAAAGCCGCCCTGTCCAAGGAGGTGTGACTTGCGTTTTGGGAAGTACGTGGTCCACAACCCCAAGGCCGAGGGCTGGGCTTCTGAGAATCAGGAGAGCAGTTTGGGGCCAGTGGGCCGGCAGCCTGGGGCTGGCCATGTGGTCCTTGACCAGTGCAGCCACAAGGCAATGTGGGAGTAAAGGGGAAGGAAACACAGCCAGGAGTCGATGGTGTGCATCGGGCCAAGTCTGGAAGCTTCTGCCATTTGCATGGGGCAGCCACAAACAGTCACATCCGAGGTGGGTCCCTCTCTTAGAGGCACCCTCTTCTTTCAGATCACCAGAACCAAACAAGCAGAAGGCCCACTTAGAATTCTCGCTGCAGCTCTGCAGGGCTCAGCCATGGCCCAGGGCATATCAGTGTTCAGTGCCTTGGAACTGGTGGTGGAGACTGGGCTGTGCATGGACACAGTGAGGGGAGGCCTGTGAACAAGAGTATTTGCCAAGGTCCAAATGGGACCTCAGGACAGTCCCATTCTGAGGCTCGGCTTCTTTGCCTTTATGTGAGGTTCCTGCCAGTCCTCTCTCTCTCTTAGTCCAATCTGGGCTTATTGGGCCTCCTAGGACTTCCCCAGTCGGCCCAGAGACAAAGGACCAAGGGATGGATGACTACATTGTTCCCTGGTTCAGTAACTGCTCACAGGTCCCCAGGCCCTGATACCCACAATCCCCCCCCACCCCCACCACAGCGCTGCTGGGTCTGGCTGGAAATTACTGAGGAATGGGTGAGGGAAAGACTGTACCAGGCAGAGGAAGGGATGTGCAAAGGCCCTGTGGGCGAGGGGAGAGACGAACCATGGTGTGAATAGGGAGCTGAAGGAAGGTCAGAG